CCACTCCCAGTTGCTGACTGGGCTGCTGCTTGTGGGGGTGTGGATGGGGTTTGGGCTTTTGGGATGGAGTGCCCAAGCTTGTGCCTGTGGGTCTCTCCCAGAGAAGCGAGAAAGCAGGGCTGGAAAGGGGGACTGGTATTTCCTTTTCTATTCTTTCCCCTTGCGCTTTAGGGGCAGTCTTGCCACCTCTGTCCCCAGTCTAAGTGTCCTCTTCGGGAACTCAGAATAGCCTGGCTTCAAGCTGGCTTGGAAAGCCATCAGGGAATACTTGGAGGCTGTATGCGCAGAGTGGCCTGACGGGCCCCCAAAGCTCCCTGAGGCCCCCACCGCCTCCTGGGCCCCCAGAGCGTCCCCTCCCGCCTGACCCCCCGGGATGCCCTCGGAATGCGCCACTGGCAGAGAAAGGGATAAGTCAGGGCGCAGTCTCCCGCCCCGCCCGCCCGCAGTCTGAGCTCACCGTGTGAGTGTGGGGCCCCCGGGGCTTGTCCGCCATGCCCGCAGTGCACCCCCAGCCGCCGCCAAGACAGGCTAGTGCGCGCCCTGTGTAGCCTTCCTGGAAGAGATGCCCCAAGCCCATTGAGGGTGGGGAGAAGGGCTTGGAGTAATCAGAGGGTTGGGGTGGATTTTGGAACCCTGAGAACTATGTTTGAGGTGAGCAGGACCCCGAGGGAGGCGTCTCATTCCAGAATCCCGCTCCCAGGCTCGGCCTTGCGCTCCCAGCCTGGGTGCAGCTTCGTGGTAACCGCGGGTCTTAGGGTGACTGTTGTGTGAGAGGGACACCGGCGTTTACCCATTATCTAGGGGGTGTCTCCTGTGCCTAGCTGTGAGTGTGCGTTTCTGTGTGCGCCTACGTGTGTGTATAAACCTGGGACACGCTGTAGGTGTGTGTACCATCCCCTGCTTGGGGTCTTTGGGTCTGTGCATGTCTCCAAACTCGGGCCATGGACATGGTGCCCACGTGTGTGGATTTGCTCTAAGTAACAGAGCCTACAGCCTCTGCGTGGGTGGGAAGAGGCAGGGGCTGAATGTACGTGGAGGTGTGTGGGGTACATGTCTGCGCGAGAGAGACCCAGTGGGCTCCCGTGTCCCAGTGTGTGGATGAATGAGGCCACCCACACCTGAGCAGAGCGTACCTAAGTTGCCTCCCCCTCTGGTCTCAAACACACCTGGGCTGATGCTCAGTGGTTGCCCTGAGTCCACGGCCCCCCATTCAGACTCGGAACATGTACACACCGATGCAGAGACCCCATGCATGGAGATGGCACACACACCTGTAGTTTGCTGCAGGCCCATGCACACCTATGGATTACAACCGAGCAGAGGTGGTGATGTGGTTTCTCCTGCTCCTGGATCGCCCTGGCGGCCCTGAGACCTCTCCTCACCTTCCTGTGGAGAGGCTGGTGTGTAGACACAGGGGAGACAAGGTAGAAGCAGAGGGGGGCTGAGGAAGCCCCATTTTGCCTCTTTTTAAAATTGAAGTAAAATTCAGATAACATAGAACTAGCCATTTTAAAGTGTACAATTCAGTGACATTTTCTCCATCACAACGTTGTACAGCCATCACCGCTATCTAGTTTCAGAACATTTTCAACCCCCCAAAAGGAAACCTGTGCCCTTTCCCATCTCCCTCAAGCCACAAACCAAACCCAAACCTGTTGTCGGAGGGTCTATTCTGACTCATGACGACCTCTTGTGTTACAGAGCAGAATTGCTCCATAAGATTTTCTTGGCTGTAATCTTTAGGGAAGTAGATTGCCAGGTCTTTCTTCCGTGGCATCACTGAGTGGGTTCAAAACACCAACCTTTTGGTTAGCAGCTGAGTATAAACTGTTTGCACCACCTAGAGACCTCCCCCAAGCCATGTTATTTGTTGTTAGGTGTTGTCAAGTTGGTTCTGACTCATAGAGACCCTATGTATAACAGAACGAGATGTTGCCCAGTCCTGCGCCATCCTCACAATTGTTGTTATGTTTGAGCCCATTGTTGCAGCCACCGTGTCAATTTATCTCATTGAGGGTCTTCCTCTTTTTCTCTGACTTCTGACCCTCTGCTTTACCAAGCATGATGACCTTCTCCAGTGATTGGTCCCTCGGCATAGCATGTAAGCAAGAGGAAATGTCACCATCCTTCTAGAAGCATTTTGGTTGTACTTCCTCCAAGACTGATTTGTTTGTTCTTCTGGCAGTCCATGGTATATTCAGTATTCTTTGCCAACACTATCGACATAGACAACTGCTAATCTGCTTTCTGTCTGAATGGGTTGGCCTATTCTGGACATTTCGCATAAGTGGGATTATGCACTATGTGGCCTTTTGTGTCTGGCTTCTCTCACTCAGCATAATGTTTCCAAGCTTCATCCATGTAGTAGCATGGGTCAGTGCTTCGTTCCTTTTTATGGCTGAATAATATTCCATTGTATGGATGGACCACATTGTGTGTATTCACTCACCAACTGATCCAGCTTGCATTTTAAAAGATTTTTTATTTTTCATCAAGCCGGCTTGCAGGCTAGAGAGAAAGAGAGAGAGACAGAGAGCAGAGAGAAAGGCTCCTAGTGGACCCAGTGCCTGGAACAAGAGCTGCCTTCACTGGGAGCTGGGGCAGAGGTGACTGTGGTCCCTCAGGGAAGGGGACGGGGGAACTGATGGCTGAAAGCCTTGGTTCCTCCACCAAGAAGGAGAGCAGAGAAAGAGGGTGGAGGAGGGTGGAGGAGAGAGTCAGAGTTCAGAGAATGACAACAGGAAGTGGCCAGGGATAGAAGGCCCAGCTGGGGTGGGGGAATGTGACTCCATAGTAATGCCAATCACTGTCACCTTATTGTGGGGGATGCCCACAGGTTAGAACCAGCACCAACAACGATAATAATGGCTAAGTACTTAACGTGCATCACCTCATTTAAGTGCTGCAATAGCCCTGTGAGATAAAGATTGCTGTTGCTAGCTGTCATCGAGTTGGCCCCAACTCATGGTGACCCTGTGCACAACAGATCGAAACACTGCCCAGTCCTGCACCATCCCCATGATAAGTTGTGGACTGGACCAGTGTGATCCATAGCGTTTTTATTGGCCGACATCTAGAATAGATCCCCAGGCCTTTCTTCCTAGTCCATCTTAGTCTGGAAGCTCCACTGAAACCTGTTCATCATCACAGCAACACGCAAGCCTCCACTGACAGATGGGTACTGGCTGCACATGAGGTGCATTGGCCAGGATCCGGGTGTCTCATATAGAAAGTGAGAATTCTACCCTTGAACCACCACTGCACCTTTGAGATAAGGATTTTTATCCCATTTTCCAGATGGGCAATGAGGCTCAGAGAGGTGAAGCAACCTGCCCCAGGTCACACAGCTAGTAAGTGGTGGTGTAGAGAATTTACAGAGTCTATGCCCTTTCCAGGTCCCTGGGTGGTGTAAATGGTTGGCACTCTGCTGCTAACCAAAAGGTTGGAGGTTTGAACCCATCAGCCGCTCCACAGGAGAAAGATGTGGCAGTCTACTTCCATAAAGATTTATAGCTTTGGAAACCCTATGGGGCAGTTATACTCTGTTCTATAGGGTCCCTATGAGTCAGAATTGACTTGAAGGTAGTGGGTTTTTTTTTGGTTTGGACTAACCAAAAGGCTGGTGGTTCAAACCCACCCAATGGTTCCAAGGGAGAAAGACCTGGAGATTTGCTTCCATAAAGATTACAGCCAAGAAAAACCTCTGGGGCAGTTCTTCTCTGTAACACTTAAGGTAGCCATGAGTTGGGCTTGACTCAACAGCAATGGGTATTGATTTTGGATTTAGTGCCCTTTCCATGTCACAGGCAAGAGGCGCCTTCCAGCTGAAGATAGCCATTAGGGAGTAGCTTGGCCTTAAAATTCAGACATGATTTGGACTCATGGAGATGGGGAGCAACATAGAGGGGACAGCATGAACAAAGGCTAGCTGGCACAGTATAATAATAGTGATAGTAAATAGAGTAGTCATAATAATTATTGTATTGGGCAAATCTGTGGCAAAAAGATCTCTTTAAAATCTTAAAAAGCAAAAATGTCACTTTGATGACTAAGGTGTGCCTCCCAATCCATGGTATTTTCAACCACTTCATATACACATGAAAACTATACAAAGAAGAATTGATGTATTTGAATTGTGGTGTTGGTGAAGAATATTGAATATATCATGGACTGGCAGAAGAACAAGCAAATCTATCCTGGAGGAAGCACACCCAGAATGCTCCTTAGAAGCGAGGGTGGCGAGACTTCCCCTCGCTTACCTTGGACATATCATTAAGAAGGACTAATCGCTGGAGAAGGACATCATGCTTGGCAAAGTAGAGGGTCAGTGAAAAAGAAGGAGACCCTCGATGAAATGGATTGACACAGTGGCTGCAACAATGAGCTCAAACATACCAACAACTGTGAGGTTGGCACAGGGACCTGGTAATATTTCATTCTGTTATACATAAAGTCGCCATGAGTTGGAGCTGACTTGACATCATCTAACAACAACAGCAGCAATAAATATTATGGGTTTAATATTTATTCAGTTCTTACTATGTGCCAGGACCTGTGCTAAGCACTGTACATGCATGATCTTATTGAAACCTCAACACAGCTCTGAGAAATAGATAAACCAACACAAAGAAAGCCAGTTGCCATTGAATTGATTACAACTCATGGTGACCCCATGTGTGTCAGACTAGAACTGTGCTCCACAGGGTTTTCAATGGCTGTGACTTTCAGAAGTAGATCTCCAGGCTTTTCTTCCAAGGTGTCTCTGGATGGATTCAAACTGCCAACATTTTGTTTAGTAGCCAAGTGCTTAACTGTGCTACCCAGGGACTCCTGTGAAGTAGAGACCATTATTATTAATGGCATTTGCAGATAGGATAACCTTAGCTTGGAGATAAGAAAGAATCCCTCCAGGAACTTCTCCCAGGGAGGGCTCACTGGAGACCCTATTTTCCTAACTACTGGAATTCCTTTGCTTTCAGCCAAGTGAGGCTGCCACGCTGATGCAGAACCATAGTGCCGTGTCTGAGTTTGTCCTCATGGGCTTCTCCACCTCCCCCCACCTTCGGCTGATGTTCGTCCCGCTGTTCTTGCTGATGTACCTGTTCACGCTGCTGGGGAACCTGTTCATCATGGCCACCATCTGGAGAGAGCGCAGTCTCCACACGCCCATGTACCTCTTCCTGTGTGCCCTCTCCATCTCTGAGATCCTGTATACCTTCGCCATCATCCCACGTATGCTGACTGACCTGCTCTCTACCCACCACACCATCGCCCTCGTGGCCTGTGCCAGCCAGATGTTCTTCTCTTTCACGTTTGGTTTCACCCACTCCTTCCTGCTCACCGTTATGGGCTATGACCGCTATGTGGCCATCTGCCATCCCCTACGCTACAACGTCCTCATGAGCCCCCAGGGCTGTACCTGCCTGGTGGTCTTGTCCTCAGCTGGGGGCTCCGTCATAGGGATGGTGGTGACAGTGGCCATTTTCAACCTCACTTTCTGTGGACCTAATGAGGTCCACCATTTTTTATGTCATGTGCCACCACTATTGAAGTTGGCCTGTGGAGATAATGTTCCAGCTGTGGCCATGGGTGTTGGCTTGGTGTGTATTACAGCCCTACTGGGTTGCTTTCTCCTCATCCTCCTCTCCTATGCCTTCATTGTGGCTGCCATCTTGAAAATCCCCTCTGCTGAGGGTAGGCACAAAGCCTTCTCCACCTGCGCATCCCACCTTATTGTGGTCGTTGTGCACTATGGCTTCGCCTCTGTTATTTACCTCAAGCCTAAGGGTCTCCACTCAGAGGAAGGTGACACCCTGATGGCCACCACCTACACGGTCCTCACACCTTTCATCAGCCCTATTATCTTCAGCCTTAGGAACAAGGAACTGAAGAATGCCATGAACAAGAACGTCCTCAGCAAACTCTATCCTTCTAGAACTTGAACATCCAGTGTGGAGATGGTGGTGGAATATGATAATAGGAGGACCATCCTCTCATCTGTATAATGGCATTAATAATGCCTACCTTGAAAAATTGGAGTCCCTGGGTAGTGCAAATCGTTAATGTGGTTGGCTGCTAACTGAAAGGCTGGAGGTTCGAGTCCACCCAGAAGCACCTAGGAAGAAAGGCCTGGTGATTTACTTCCAAAAATCAGCCATCGAAAGCCCTAATACGTTCTACACTGACACGCTTGGGGTCACCATGCATTGGAATCGACTTGACAACTAGTGGTTACAGGTACCCTGAGAGATTGGTGTAAGGATTTGTGTATGGGACAACATCCATCACATAGCTGGTACTCCATGAATGTTAGAATTTTTTTCTTCTTCTTCTCTTGGTTTTGTGGGAGGTTTATTGAGATAGAATCCACATACCATACAATTCACTCATTCAAAGTATACAATTCAATGGTTTCAACCACACCACAATCAATTTTAGAACATTTTCATCACCCAAAAAAGAAACTCTATACCCATTAGCAGCGAGTCTTCGTTTCCTCTCAGTTCCCCTATTATGGATTGAATTGTGTCCTCCAAAAATATATGTTGTAAATCCTAACTTCTGTGGCTGTGGTTATAATCCCATTTGTGAATAGGTTATCTTTGTTATGTTAATGACACAGGATTAGTGTAGGGTGTGTCTTAAATCAATTTCTTTTGAGATATAAAAGAGATTAAACAAGCAAGCAAAAGGAGCAGAGATAGGGGAGAGAGATGCCAAGCCACATGAAGATGACCCAGGAGCAGAAGCTCAAAGACACAAGGACCTTCTTCCTGAGCCTACAGAGATAGAAAGCCTTCCCCTAGAGCTGGCACTCTGAATTCAGATTTCTAGCCTCCTAAACTGTGAGCAAATAAATTTCTGTTTGTTAAAGCCACTCACTTGTGATATTTCTGTTATAGCAGCACTAGATCTCTAAGACACCCTCCTTCCTGGCCCTAGGGAACAACCAATTTACTTTCTGTGTCTATGAATTTGCCAGTTCTGGACACTTCACACAAATGTTATTGTTGTTAGCTGCCCCTGTTGTTAGTTGGCCCCTAACTCGTGGAGACTCCATGCACAATGGAAGGAAACCTCCCTGGTCCTACACTATCCCCATGATCAGTTGCAGATTGGGCCATTGTGATCCACAGGGTTTCATTGGCTGATTTTCAGAAATAGATTGACAGGTTTTTATTCTTAGTCTGGAAGCTCTGCTGATCCTGTTCAGCATCATAGCAACACGCAACCCTCCACTGACACATTGGTGGTGCCTATGTATGAGATGCGTTGCCAGGAATTGAACCTAGGACTCCTGCAAAGAAGGCAAGTATTCTGCCTCTGAACCACCACTACCCCGTCACATAAATAGAATCATGCAATATGTGACTTTTTGTAACTGGCTTATTCACTTAGCATAATCTCCTTTGAGGTTCACCCATGTAATATCATGTATCAGTACTTCATTCATTTGCATTGCTGAGAAAAATTGTGTTGTATGAATATACTACATTTTTATTTACCCATTCATCAGTTGATGGACAGTTTTTAGTTATTATAAACAATGCTTCTATAAACATTTAGATAAAGTTTTTGTGTGGGCATGTTATTATTTCTCTTGGGTATATACCTAGGAGTACTACTGTGTGTTGCTGTGATACTGGAAGCTATGCTACCAGTATTTCAAATACCAGCAGGGTCACCCTTGGTGGACAAGTTTCAGCAGAGCTTCCAGATTAAGAGAGACTAGGAAGAAGGACCTGGCAGTCTACTTATGAAAAAATTGGCTAGAGAAAATCTTATGAATAGCACCAGAACGTTGTCTGATATAGTGCCACAAGATGAGCCCCTCAGCTTGGAAGGCAGTCAAAAGACAACTGAGGAAGAGCTTCCTCCTCAAAATAGAGTCAACCTGAGGGCGGGGCTAAGATGGCAGAGTAGCCAGATGCTTCCGGTGGACCCTCTTACAACAAAGACCCAAAAAAACAAGTGATTCTATTATATATGGCAATCTGGGAGCCCTGAACATCAAAGGCAGAGTTGAGGAACTAGGCCGAGTGGCAGGGGGAGGGAAAGACGGTTCAGAAGCAGCGAGGAGTTGCCAGACCTGACCTAGCAAGAGCCTGAGCCCTTCAGGCCTGATCAGCTTGGAAGTGAGCGTCAAGGCAGGCAAGCATCAGTCCTCGGGAGGTGAATTCCGCACAGGGAGAGACCCAGCCACTGAGAGTCTACTCAGCCACCCGGAACCAGTTAGAAGCAGCCCTAGATTGGTGAAGGATAAGTACTTGCGTACGGCCTACCCTGCAGATCAAAAATATCCCCCTTAGGGAAAAACCTCTCTTCCATTTACCTCCCCACTCCCTGCTCTGTACTGGGTCCTGGACCAGCTTCAACAATTGCCAAGTCGCCTGGGCCGGAAGTAGGATCCGTCACACAATCAGAGCCATTCTCCTTGCTTTGGAGAGTGAATAAATTAACAAACAGGAGAAAAATAAACTGCCAGCTCCCCTAAGCCAGGAACCAGGGTAGGCACAACTCCTTTGCCTAGGCACAGGCATAAGGGATTCCATGGACTTTGAGTGCCTTTCCCCCTGCATAGACTTGTGTGGACCCATCTCAACAGCATAGGCCCTCATTACTGCAGTATAACAAGGTATATACTGGAACTCTAACTTCAACTGTTTCAGCTGTGAAGTGGCAGGTCCTTGACATTTGACATTGCTCTGCCCATTAAGCAGCATCTTCACCTACCCACTTCAGGGGTGTGAGGACTGGTGGCACCACCCATGCCACCTAGCCACCTGCTATAGGGGCTCATGAATAAGAGATGCCCCCCAGTCCTTACAGCCAACAGTATTAGGTGCTCATAGTCCAGCTGCAAAACCCACCCATATATGTGCTCTAGGGAACAGGGACATGCATTCCTCCTGGACACTTGGGTGGCTGTCAGCCCCCTGCCTTGATCAGAGTGTGTCCCCCTGCTGCAGCCAGATGCCTATGCCTACACCAATCACCCATGCCTGTCTAAGTGAAAGCCTACACCACACACTTTGTACTGTCTACCTGGGCACCTGAGCTGAATCCATACAGGAGGAGTGGGCATACTCTTCAACTTACATACCTAGTAACAGATCTAAACACCTGGTGACAGGACATTAGAGCTTCAAAGTTGCCAATAATCAAACTAGCTCTTATGAGCAGCCTATTTGGGCATATCAAGATGAAACAAGAAGCTAGGACACAGTAAGCAAACATAAAATAAATAAATATAATAACTTATTGATGGCTCAGAGACAACAGTCAATATCAAATCACATAAAGATACAATCCAAGATGGCTTCAGCAAGTTCCCAAAATAATCTAGAAATTTTCCAGGGTAGGAAAATTTCTTGGAATTAC